TTTTAAACTTCCAACTACCACTTCTACATTGAGAATAGTTTCAACTTTCGTCTTCATCACAAAGGTTTTATTCAGTTTTTCCTTCCTCCAAGAGCAGGATTGCATTCAGTATCTTTGTGTTCCTCTTCCTAGGACACAGGCACAGTGTATCTAGAAAGACACTATTTCCAGAGTGTAACCAGCACTTTTTATATTACCCCTGGTTCCTGACCATTAGCACACTTCTTGCCACATTGATCCCCTGTGCTATGCTAAAATTTTACAATGTTTGCAAAATTTTTCCAAATAGTATTGTAATTTTGGAGTATTGATGTGTTGCTGGGCTAGAGTGATAGCACAGCGGGTAGGGCATTTGCCTTGCACACAACCGACATGGCCAACCCGAGTTCGATTCCTCAGCCCCTCTAGGAGAGCCCAGAAAGCTACCGAGAGTATTTCACCCGCACAGCAAAGCTTGGCAAGCTACCCGTGATGTCTTCAATATGCCAAAACACAGTAACAACCAAGTCTCACGATGGAGACGTTACTGGGCCCGCTCGAGCAAATTGATGAACGATGAACAACAGGAGGACAGTGATGTGTTTCTGCTGCTTTTTTACTGTAACCAGGGTTGCTCTTGACTTTTACAGCAAATTTACCCAGTACTTAAATCAGGGGGAAATGATAGGGCGAAGGGGCTCAATAAGATATTGATTGGTTTATGTTGATTCTTCATAAATGGTCTTTATGTTCATTCCCTTCACCCAACAAGTTAAAGTATGATCCATAAATTGGACACAGACCTGAGGAGATGACTGTTCAGCTTGTCTTCTTAGATAACTAGTATCTCCTGAGCTCCAGCCTCCCCCCTGATCCCCTGTGTTCTCTCAGACAACTGCTACTTTAATTTCTTATGAAGTATGTTTCTGAGGTATCCCTCCCATGTTCAAGAGATGCGGCTCTATAGCCACTCAGTCAGCTGTGAACTCTCCCCATCCCAGTATTCAGGCCTTCAGAGTACCCTGCCACTGTCCCTGGGACCATCAGTGGCATCCCTCTCCATCCTTCTCTCTGTGTGGCCCTAACTAGTAGCACATCCGCACATCAAGCCTCTGTCCATTACCTTGCTCTGCCTCATCTACCTGCTTGTTATCTGCCCTGCAATTGAATTTACTACCTTAGTCATTTGTTCATTTCTTCAGCATCTCTTTCTAGAAAAACTAAAGTCGTTTCTTCTTCGTACACATACACAATTCCCCCGAATCACAACTTTTCCTGGGAAGCTTCACCTCAGTGAGTCACCATATAGTGGCTTCTTTTTCTGAAAACCTTTTTTCTGCCATATACAATGACTGGACAAACACAGTCTTTAGACTTTTAATAACTATTAAACATAGAAATGGATCAGGGTTAAGGTACTTTTCTAGCACATTGTTGACCCCAGATCAATCCCTGGCATTACATATGGTCCCTTGAGCACCTTTAGGAGTAATCCAAATTAGAGTGAGGTAAATCCTGAGTAACCTCCCAGGTGTGACCTAAAAACAAAACAAAGCAAAATCAAAAACAGACTATTAAGGTTGTTCAATGAAAAGGGTTCTTATAATAAATAAACCTAGTTAGTAAATTAGTTTTATTACATGTATTTTTTTTCATAAATACAAATTTTTATTTTTGAGTCACACTCTGGGATGCTTAAGGGCTAATTCCAACTTAGTTATAGAGGATCATGCAGTGTGTGGAATCAAATCTAGACCTCCTACATGCAGAGCATGTCCATTAGTCCTTTGAGTTATCTTCCTATGTATTTCATCTCCTGCAAACACAGTCACCATTAAATACTAAGTTACACTGCTGAAAAATAAATATTTGGTGGTCAAATGACACAAATTTACAAATAGTAAATCATGAACTGCCAATATAACTCTTGAGACTTTGCATAACTCGTGAGACTTAGTGGAGAGTAGTCCCCAACCAATGGTTTGTTCTATTTATTTACTTGAAGGAACTCACAAGTAGCACTCGGACATCTGAGGACGACTCTCTACAATACTCAGTGAGCAGTGCAGATCTGAGTGCATATGTTTTATCCCTCAGAGTTATATCCTTGCACAACCACCGTGGTTTTTTCATTTTTTTTTCAACAAATCATGTATCTCACTGTCACTGTCACTGTCCCTGTGTCCTCCCGTTGTTCATGAATGTGCTTGAGTAGCTTGCCAGGCTCTCTGAGTGGGGCGGAGGAATTGAACTTGGTCAACTGGGTCAGCTGTGTGCAAGGCAAATGCCCTCCTACCCTCTGTGCTATATATATATATATATATATATATATATATATATATATATATATATATATATATAGCTTGCCGGGCTCTCCGAGAGTAACACTGCCTCTCGGAGAGCCTGGCAAGCTACCAAGAGTATCTCTCCCATACAGCAGAGCCTGGCAAGCTACCTGTGGCATATTTAATATGCCAAAAAGAGTAGCAATAATGGGTCTCATTCCCCTGACCCTGAAAGAGACTACAATACAGCAGCGTTGGGAAAGATGAGTAAGGAGAGGCTGCAAGAATCTCATGGCTGGGATGAATGGAGAGGTTACTGGCATCCACTCAAGTGAATCGATGAACAACAGGATGACAGTTACAGAGACAGTGGATATTATATGTTAAATTTGTTATCAGTTCAATTGCAATTATTATAAAAAGTTGATCTGTTTTTGTGAATTCAGGGAGACAATTATATTTTTGTTCTAAAAAATATGAGATACATGACTTACAATATTGTTCATGACAAGGTTTTATGTAAATAATATTCCAACCTTATACCCTACTCTTGAAAGTCCACCTCCCTCCATCATTGTCTCAGTTTCCCCTCAATCTTCACTAATCTCAAACTGCTCCGTCCCCCACTGTGATGAGTTCAGTTCTATAAACCAGTTCTTATTGTATCTCAAATGCCTCTGGCTATTTATGTCCTTGTTGTGTTTCTTTATATCACATATATGAGAGATCATTCCGTATCTGTCCCTATCCTTCTGTCTAACTTCACTCAGCATGATGCTTTCCAGATCCATCTATATAGTGACATGTTTTTTTTTCTTTTTTTTATTAGTGAAAAACCATGAGGTACAGTTATAGGCTTACAAATTTTGTGCTTGGGTTTCAGTTATACAATGATCAAGTCCCCATACCTCCACCAGTGCCCGTCATCCATCCCCATGGGTCCCAGCATCCCCCCCCACCCTCATCCCCCCCCCCCCGTCCCATCCTGCCTCTGTGGCAGGGTATTCCCCCTTGTTCTCTCTCTCTTCTTTTGGGTACTGTGTTTTGCAAGAGAGGCTTTGAGTGGCAATCATGTTTGGTCTATAGACTACTTTTAGTATGCTTCTCCCACCTTGGGAGGGCCCTCACAACACCCTTCATTTGGTACTCTCTTCTCTATCTGAGCTTCCTTTTCACCTAGAGCCTGTGGCTGGCCTTCCATTCATGGAGCAAAATTCCTGGTAGTAATCTCAGCCATTCCTGTGTGTCACTCTCCCTTTTTGTTGCTTTATGTTCCCCAGATGAATGCAATCTTTCTGTGTCTATCCCGCTCTTTCTGACTCATTTCGCTTAACATGATACTTTCCATGTAGTACCACTTGTATGTAAATTTCATAACTTCATCTTTTCTAACAGCTACATAGTACTCCATTGTGTAAATGTACCAAAGTTTCTTTAACCAGTCATCTGTTCTTGGGCACTCAGGTTTTTTCCAGATTCTGGCTATTGTAAAGAGTGCTGCAATGATATAGTGACATGTTTTTATCTTTTCTTATAGCTGAGTGGTAGTCATCTATTCTTGGACATTGGAGTTCTTTCCAGAACTATAGTGAGCAGTACTGTCTTTTCTAGATAGAGCTTTTTGAGGTGGCCCTTAGGGTAGAATGGTACATAGGTCTATACAGGTCTTTCCTCTTATATGCATTTAACATGGCGACAAATAGCTAACTGGAATTCTCTTTTCCTTTGTCACCTGCTATGGAGGAAGTGAACAGTACACAAAGGACAGCTAGGATTCCCACCTTATGCCCAGGGACACAGCTCTGGGTACAGTGAAAAGAGCAACATCTCAGATAAAGCACTATCTTCTCTACCTCTCCTCTGTCACAAGCACCTTATTATATGGAATAGATTTCTCCTACTCCTCAATTCTGCCATGTATAAATTATCAATCCATGGTGTAAATATTTGGTGCACATTTACTAGTACAGAAGTCACCCATCAGGCTATGTGCTTGTTCCTGTTGTTTCAAGATGACTCTCAGAGAGTGAACTTCTATTCAGATGATTCTGGGAAGTCATATCTATAAAGCAGATATAATGAGACCTTCTTTACAAAACTGTTGTAAAATCATGAAAGATGCTATGTGAAAATACTTTGAAAGTTTCAGGTATATGACATGCCTCTTAAAGAAAAAAGACGTGCCTCATGGTTAGGAAGAGCAGAGGTCTAAACATTCTAATAGTTTAGACCAACGTGGGCAGCTATTGCACTTCAGAGATAGACATCAGTGAGAGAATTGCCCAAGTTAAATTCTCCTCTCCTCTTAACTAATCAGATAAAGCCTTTCAGTTACAAATATATACATGCATGCAGACTTTGTATGCTCTTTTTTTTCCTGCAAGCTTAAAAACATATTTTTGGTACAAAGGAAAACTCAGACTCAACCTAGATATATTCTGATCAAATTGTTTAAAAGAAAAAGAAAAGGTTGAACCTCTAGGTTCATCAAATTTCATCCCTGTTAGACTGAGAGCAAGCACCTCCTGATTATTCCCTGCAAGGTCAAGGTCTGGTTTATTACTTTTAATAGCACCTTTAAATAGCCTGGCCCCTCTCCCCACACTCCCTTATAGAGGGCTTCCCTTCCTGAAGTGAAGCAAGATTAAAACCCTGTCACTAAGCAGCACTCAGCTCCTGCATTGCTGGCCTTTGCATGCAGATGGAGACACTGACCGCCTGCTAATCTATCCCCAGATGGAGGTGGACGCCGAGGAGAAGCGTCATCGCACACGGTCCAAAGGGGTCCGAGGTACGTCTCAGCTTCCCTGAGTCCCTGGAGGCCCCAATCAGGGTCACCTTCACCCCGGAGAAGCTGCACGGTGACCCCTGCTTTGACCCCACCCTCTGGGTAATTTTCTGTGGAAAAGAGCTACTTGTGACAGATGATAAATTTTTATCTATTTTCCATCTCTCTGCAGTTCCCGTGGAACCAGCCATACAAGAGCTGTTCAGGTTAGTGTTCTATGAGTAAAATGTATCCCCATTAGCAATTTAGAAAATGTCTGCGTTTTAATGGGTACACTGTACTTGAGTTCATCAGCGGCTTGCTTATGCCCTGCTGCACTGATGGAATTCATTCCCCTGAGCCTTGCTAATAAAAGGCATCCCCTAATTTCTCCCCTCCTCCTGTTCCCAGCTTCTCTGTCTGCTGCCTCACGCTCTCTCCACACCTACAGCATGCTCAGGGTGTAACTTTCTCTTTCCCGTTGCAGCTGTCCCACTCCTGGCTGTGATGGCAGTGGTCACGTTAGTGGCAAATATGCAAGACACAGAAGGTAATGTCTGTACTTTTTCACCCTGTACTCTCTATAGTGACTTATATAGGGGCCCACACCAAATGATGACAATGAGTGTGGTTGGGTGTCCTTGAAAAATGGACTTGTGCCCTTCTTCTCCCCTCTAATGTTCATTCAGTCTTTGGCCTCTTATAGGTTCTCCAAGAGAAAACCATTCTAGCTATCTCCTGGGACAGAGTTTAGGATAAAATGTGAGCTGATACAAATTCAGAGCAGCTTCATTTTCCCCATATGCAAACCCAGCCTGACCACGTGACCCATCCCCTCTGCCTCAGTGAGAGGCTCATTTCTCAGCCACTTTCTCATTCTGTGGCTGCAGGATAGGAAATCATGTTGTTAAATTAAAGTGTGACCTTCCTGATCTTTCCATAGGAATGTGGCTTCCATAATTTAACAGAGTTCATCTTTGAAAACGAATCTGAACAAGGCAGCCGGGCAGCCACCAGGGGAGGGCAGAGCAAAGGTGCTGGACCAGGATAGATCACACTAATGAGACTTGGGGGCTTAAGTGATTATAATATCCTCCTAAATACAGAGATTCCAGTCCTGAAACAGAGATGCACAAAGATGCATGTAGTGCATCTAGAGAATGTGGTCATTGGTAATTATTGCTAAATGTGCATCACAGCGAAATTGTACTTTGTATATCTGAAGCCAAAGCTCCTGTGACTGGTAATCCCAGATTGATTTATTTTTGCAAGTAGGGTTTTCTTCTTTATGATAGTAACATAGCTCTACCTTTCAAGAGAAGGTTAAGGTGAATTAGAAATGTTTACAGATTACAATTAGCCTTTAACTAAACTTTTATAAAGGAATTTGCTGAGACTAGGATCATTCCATCCAACAACCAGGCCACTTAATTCAAAGCTGCGTCTATGGCAGTATGCCAGGGTTCCACCAATGACCTTTCTCCCTTGTTCCACATTTTATTTCTTCTTTAGTGCAGCATTCATATATAAGTGAGAGCAAGCATTTATTTTGATTTTCTTTTCATAAAATCAAAGGGAAAATATAAGTTATATTCCAGAGCCCCATGCCAGCATTTAGAGTCACAGAGAACTTTTAAGATCCCCTATGATGAAATTGTTACAGACATTCTTTGTTAAAAACCAAAGGAATGGCCATTACTTTAAGAGGATGTTGTGATGAAAATTATTAAATATAATGAATCATTTTATTGCATGGTGCAAAATGGCAATGCATTGAATCATATCACTTAAATGAACATTTTATTTGGAGTTTTTATGCTCTTTTATAAAGGAGTATGTATGTAAATTTTTAATCTATAAGGTTTTTTAAATGCATTATTCATGTTTTCTATGGAAAACAAGTTAGCAAACCATGAGTGAAATCTAATTTTCCCTCTAATCATCTCTTGATTAGTCAATAGTTAAGCTTTATCATACTGTTACTATAAGAAATGATTACATTTGGCTAAAAAAGTTTTAATTGGGTGTCAGCTAGATATACTTTCATAACCATAATCCTGAAGAAAAAAATCATGAAGTTGTCAAAGAATTACTTCAGTCAGATTTTTAATGGTGCACTCTCTCAAGGTACAGACTGGTATGTATAGGCATGGCATGTGTGCACATCTGTTCTGAGGAAATTTCTTGCCCTGCTTTTTAAGAAATAAAAGGTCCTTTAATGGACAATAGGAAAGTTTAAAGATCACCCAGCTTTGTCATGCTTAGAGATGCGATAGTGATCTATGCAGAGAAGCACAGACTCTTATCGGAATTAATTAGATAAAATTTGAGAGAGGAGTCACAGAAATATCATGTGGGGAAGAAATTAACAAAAATGAATTTACAATAATGTCATCATTCTTTTCCATGTGTTGATTTTAAGTAATTATTAGAATTCCTAATATTTTCATGGAAATATTTAATTAAAACATAAAATATGTTCTCTTAGAAAAAGAACTATTTCCCAGAACAGAGACCAGGTTCTAGTTTCCCCTGTGCTACTAATTAGTAAAGGGGCTTTTGGACAAATTATTTAACATTTTTTGGACTTCAATTTCAGTTTTAAAATGAAAAAGTTGCAGAATTTGTTATACAAATTAATTAATGGCTAAAACTTATGTCACTGTCTAAATCTCGTCCATCAAGGAATCTTAATAATTGAATCTCCACTCAAGTATCAAGTGAAATATAAGTTGTATTTTTTATGCTTATACATTAATAGTAATTGTTAAGTAAAGAATTTGAAAAACTTAACTGAGTGTTCTTGCAATAGATAAGACTTACTTTAAACTACAATTTTATGACTTGTCATTTTTAATTTGTAATATTTTTAATTACATTTGGTGTTGAATTGTTTTCTGATTTAAAACTGCTTCTTGCCACAAAAGTTGGTCTCCTCTGACTGACACTTCTGCACATAGATATCTGTACAAACATTACAGATACAGCTTGAACTTGACCTCTTTACCACACACCTGAGTTAAATCCCTGGCAACCGGAGGTTAAACTGGGTCTGGTCACATGTGATACAAGCATCCTGTCTGCTGTACTATAAAGTTTCTATCCTTTAGGACCTTAATTATACAATTTTAAGTGAAAGCATTCCTATAGAAGCAACAACTTTATTTTACTCATCTATCATGAGGAAAATGATTCATTAGTAGTTAGAGCATGTATTTATTTAAACAAGCAAAAAGTAATTTAAGGCAGTAGTGAGAAATCAACAATGTAAAGGGAAAAGTTTTAGGAAATCTGATACAAAGCATTAAAATGATACCTACCAGTTAGTCCTTTAGTATTGACTTTTTAAATAAAGTTAGTTTTATAAAAGTTTCACATATACAAAAATGTTGCAAAGATACTCGAGAAAGTTCTTATATATTCCACATTTAGTCTATTTATTATCATTTTATATAGTATGGTATATTTGTCAAATTAATGAACCAATATCTATATATTACTATTAACTAGAGTTTATAGTATTATTATTATTATTTTAAAAATTAATATCCCTTTCTGCTCCATTCAATACCCATTTACTTTAGATTCTCATGAATTTCCCAAGTTTCCAAAACTCTTAATTTCCTAAGAGTATGATATTTTCCTAAGCTTTACTATTTTTAATGACAGTTATGAATACAATATTACATAAAATGTCTATAAATCAAGGTTTGACCTATATCTTTTTTTCATAGCAAGACAAGGGGTATGAGTTTTGGGAAAGAAGACCAAAGAGGCAAGGCACCATCCTCATATAAAATGTTCATGCTCTAAATAAGATTTCACACTGATAATATCGACTTTGATACTAGACCGAGTTAGTGATTTTCAGATTTGTACGCCATAAGTTCTTTTTTTTCTCCCTTACCATCCTGTACTCTTTAAAAGGAAGTCACTATGGGCAGTCTCACAGGAAAACATGTTGTGTTTCATCAACTGAAGGAGAATGTATCTGCATAAATTATTTGGAATTCTGCAAAAGGATATTTTTCTTCCTGGCAGTTATTTATTGATTCAGTCATCTATTTACATTATTAAGGAACTCATGGATCTTTAAGCGCTTTTTTAAGAAAATCAAATATTAATCTCAATATCATTATCCCATTTTATTGTTTTATAGGACAGAAATTGTGGTAAGCTTAGATATTGTTCATGCTGTTTTAATGGTGATTGGCACAAATCAGAATAGCTGCTGAAATTGATGGCCTATTAATTCTTTTTAGTGTGATAGTGGTAAGATTGTGTGTGTGTAAAAATTCAAGAATAAGAAAAGGAAATAATTATTGTGAAAGAAAATAATTATTTGATTAACAATGCACAGTTTAGGGCCAGAGCGATAGTCTAGCCTAGTGGGGAGGGTGTTTGCCTTGCATGCCGGCTAATCTAGTCTAGCCTAGCGGGGAGGGTGTTTGCCTTGCATGCCAGGGATTCGATCCCCGGCAATACATATGGTCCCCCAAGCACTATCAGGGGATAATTCCTGAGTACAGAGCCAGAAGTAGCACCCGAGCATTGCTGGGTGTGACCCCCCCCCCAAAAAAAATAAAATTTTTTAAAAAATAATAGAATGTACTGTTTAATATCCTGGTTAAAAATTAGGGTATGACAGTTAAGGCTGTACTGTTTATATGCTTCAAAAATTGTACCCATGAAACAATGATAATCTATTGATGAATATTTGTTTTAAAAGTTTATAAACAATTTAGAGTAGTTGATGAATACATGCATAACTGTGTTGTTTGAAGTTTAATAGAAAATAAATTAGGTAAAACACAAAGAAAATTGAAACATAATTTTGTCAGAAACTTAGGATATAGCAGGGCTTAAATGAAGCATTATATTCTACTCTGGGTCTGTTGGCTGCCAGGGCACAAATGAGAAAAATTAATGACAGAGTAAAGGTAAGGTAAAGGCCCTCCCGTTGATCGTCGATTTGCTCGAGCGGGCCCAGTAACGTCTCCATTGCAGACTTTGTTGTTACTGTGTCTGGCATATCGAATACTCTCGGTAGCTTGCCGGGCTCTCTGAAAGGGGTGGAGGAATCGAACTCGGGTCGGCCATGTTGGCCGCTTGTAAGGCGAACGCCCAATAGGACTGCATCAACTCCTTCAGAAGTGGGACCAGGAAGATAATACAGTGAGTAGAGCACTTGCCTTGCATGCATCTGACCTAAGTTTGATCCCCAGCTCCCCATATGGTGCTCCAAGTACCTCCAGGAGTGATCCCTGAGCACAGAGTCAGGAATAAGCCCTTAACACAGCTGGGTGCTTCCCCCCACCACACACACATACATACACACACACACACACACACACACACACACACACACAAAGAAACAAAAAGAAAAAAAAAGGAAGTGTACTCTTTCCCAGTCAATGATAAATATTTGCTTTCCCAAGCTTTGTCCACCAAGAATTCAAGCTCACTCAGCACTTCTATGTGATGATACATGTAATTAAGAGCTGGCATCTCATGTAGCTAACCAGTATAACATACATTTATCTTCAAAAT